GAAGCTTAGCTTGAATATTTCTTTCAAATATGCTGGTTAAGATTTCACTATTTTTATTTTTAGTCATTCAACCATAACTCAGTGAAAAATAATATTTCCAAGGGACTTTTGTGCTGACTTTTGGGCAAGATGTGGAGACTACCCATGTCATCGTGGACATTATTTCGAGCTGTTCTCCAACCTGTAAGCTAATTTAAGTCTCTCTGGTTGTCAGCAACTACAGCAAAAATGAATCTTTTGTGAGCATTGACTTCAGCAATTAAATGTACACTGTGCACTGGGCACCAAACCAGCAATAGTAAAATATGCAGAAAAACTCCTGTCTGAGCACCTGTCGAAATGGGGAGTATATCTATGCTGAAGAAAAAGTTTTGTAAGCAAATAATTGCTCATCCTCACACTTACCCACAGAAGAAATGCGAGATACAGCTTTTTGTTACATTTCCCACATGTCAGTCTTGCTGTTTGCGCTTCGGTCAGTGGAAATGCGAGGGGAATGAAAGGATGCTTTGATAGGCTGCCTGCGTGTTGTTGTTCGTCATTGGTATTCTGCACACAGGAAGAACTGGGTGCAGAGGTTCCTCCACCCTCCTTTGGGTTTTCTCCTCCAGGTCTTATCTTTGCCTGTTATGGCAATAGTTTGCAAAGTCAGTCAACCTTTAATTAACATTTTTCTACTTTATGAATAAGCATATATGTATGAAACTTTACTTTTTCCCTCTTTTTAACATAATTTTGTATCGTTTAGTATTAAATGCCAGCGTTTCAGAGCAGTGAGGAACCACATAGGAGTGGCAGAGCACCACCTTTTGGAGGATGTTGTGTATTGCAGTTAGGATGAGTTGTAATGCAGCAGGGGAAGCTTGATAGGCAGATTTCCTGCTCTGATATTTGAGTCTTTGTGCACTGATGCTGTGTGATGATAGAACTCAGAACGTGTTTAAATTTCACACTCATATGTTGTTCATAGGAAATGAGCACTCCTGGTTTCATACTCAGCCACGTACAAAAGAGAAATGTAACACTGCAAACACAGATTTCTCTCTCTCCCTCACACATAAATGATAAGTTGTGGTGGCTGTGTCACACCACTGGGCTTCGATCCAGCAGCGGCGAGAAATCAATGTCCACCTTCTTTTTCTTTGCATCTTTGCATCAGTGGATTTTGTCAGCAGGCAACACAGTGGTAAGAAGCTTTTATCTAAAACACCAAAGAAATGCTTTGGAAGCTGAAAGGCTGGAGCTCCTGTATTCTCTCTCCTGTCGTGTGTAAATGCATTTCAGAGATGGCTGAGGGGGAGGCCGTGACCTTTTTCCTCAGTTCTGTTTTGACAAACTGTCGAGCCTTTTGGATATAATAATAAGTTATTACCTGCAAACTCATGAGTTTTTTTTACTCATCGTGGTTTTACTTGCTAGTTGTTTATAGATCTGGGTTTTCCAGTTCCATAATTAGTGCAAAATGCGTAATAATGCAGTTAGTTCAAGCTTTTGTTAGCCTATGTGTATATTATATCTTCAGACTTGACTTACAAGTCTTAATCAGTTCACCAATTAAATGTGATATTTGACCTCTGCCTGTCTTCATCAGCCGAACCATGTTGGAATTGAGAATTAATATCAAGCTCTCTTCCGGCCTCTGTGCACCGGACATACTCGCACTGCTGATGTTAACATTTTTCATCTCATAAATTTGTTCTGTACTAAAGAACTGACTCAGGATTTTCTCCTTGCGACTGAAGGACCAGACTGAGCCTTGAAACTTGACTTGTGACTTGATTAAAGTCAGCACAGTACTTCTTCTGTAGAGCTGGACGAGATGGAATTACAGTGTGAAGAGATTACACATTGACCAGACAGAAAACACCTACTCTCAAAAAAAAAGGACCGCTTTCATTCTCCAATCTATATCAATCTTGGATGTGAACATAGAACTGGATCGTTTGATTGAGTGGAGCTGTGATGATTTACCCAAAGGGGAAAAAACATCTATCCGAGAAGAAGTTTTGAATGTCTTTTAAAAGAATAATTTTAAATATTTTCACTTTAGTTTAATTTGTAAAGAAACAAGGTCATATTTTGGAGATCAGTGCAAAGAAAAAAAGCTGATAGATGTTTCAATTCAATCAGTGATATGTTCTGGTATTTCATGACATGGAGATGGAGAAGATGGTCAAAATCTAAGCAGTGAAGATACTAATTTTTCCTCTGTTTTATGTGTTAGTCTTCAATAATGCTTAATCCTACACGTCCCATAGCATAAACAAAGTGTCCATCCCATTCAAGTATTCGCCTGGTTTGTAACACAATCTTCATTCTAAGAAGTTACTGTTTCCATGGGCTAAATACAACTCTTCAAAAAGGCCTTTGTAACATTGAGCCACAACATTAAAACTACTGATGGGTAAAATAAATAAATTATATACCCGCCATGTTACGTTCCCCTGAGGGGTCTAGGCGGTGAGGGGGAAGTAACAAAAAGTGTCCGGGTCAGGAAAAAGGAGTCAAGGAGGCAAAAGGGTTAAATTAAATAGTTTTATTAAAGTAGCTCAACTAAAAGAGACGGACAAGCCGCTATCACCATTTAAGGAAAACAAACAAAACTCAAGCATTGGTCAATAAAATAAAAAGTAAGTCAAAAAGAGAGCAGCTCACTAGCTACAAACACACAACTCACTAGCTGCAACCACACTAATGGCACTCTTGCCCAGAGCTCACCTTTAAGGCTTAAATCTCCTTGATTACTGACAAGAGTCAGCTGCACAAAAGGGAAAGGTGGCACCTCAGGCAGAAGATGTAGTGGGACACGCCCACACAGGCACCTTCAGGAGGAGGCCCTGCTAGGGCCGTAACACACCAACAGCACAATTCTCCTATGGCAGTGGCACTGAACTTTTTCGCAACTTCAAGAACCAAACTGCTCCCAGCAACAGGCAATATTTCCAAAGCCACATTACTCGTTAACGTAATTATTTTTTAGAAAGGCAGATTATGGCAGAGGAATCCTTCAACCAGTCGAGAGCCAGTGCTAATTAGCTAGCTATCTACTGCTGATAAAATCTTTTGGTTGCTGTCATGTCAGCCAACAAATCCCAGCAGTGTGAAATTGAAGACCAACTGTTATAAAAATTAATCAAAGCTTTGGATAGATCTGCCGCTGTTAACATCATAACTTGCATATGTGTCATGTAACAACAGAGAGATTGACAGGCTTTGCATTTCAGATCACCAAATAGGAGAATAAATCATTTTTGGGAACTATCACGCCAAAAGATGTTGTTGAGAACTCAGCTTGATCTCTTCTCGTGGGCCCCTGCACTACATTACAACGGTGTTATCAGCTCTCGCTCCCATGGGTATACTTGGGTCCGCTAAGCATGCTGCTGATGGTGGCACGGGGACCTTTCATTATCGCCACGTCTCATAGCTTTACACAGAGCTACTATCAGTAGGTGGTTCTGCCATATGGAGGTAATTTCAGCTTATGAGTTGCAACAACAAAAAATGTCCCAGTGGGACAGACAGATATTGGACCCACGCTTTCATTTAAATGGTGAATGGAACTGTGCTGCATGACATTTTAAATCAAATGTGGTATTTTCAGTCTCATAGTAGTGCCGATTTGATCGCAGGGACTGCAGATAAAGATGTAGGTTGTAGTTTATGTGAAATCAGAGAGTTTAGCAGGAAGATTTTTCCAGAGTTTAGTTTACTGATAAGGTGTTAGTTTATGTCTCTGTATAATGTGTGTGTGTTTGTCTTTCTGCAGGCGTACCGTTTCCTTGCCTTCAATAAAAAGCTGGGGTTGAGTGGACGCCCGGAGAGGCCAGTGGGCTGCATTGGGACCTGTAAGGTATTTGAATATGCGCACACGTACCCACAGTCGTGTAAGTACATCTCAATACATGTGCTTACTGTACATATGTGCTCCATGAGACTTTGCACAGGTCATGGGTGACCACTAACAAACCTCCCACATATTGATCCACATAAATATTCCAGAGCTTCGCAATATGGCAGCATCTCACAAAAAATCATCCCGCTCCACGAGTGCCTTCCTTCTTTATTCATACACTATGCATCAATGAACGCTGAGTAAGTTTTGCGTAGTCTCAGGAGTTATTGCATTTTAATGTGCTAAGTCGCTGTCCAGCAGCCTGTGTGTTTTGTCCGGGTATGTGCATGTTGTGTAGCTGTTACAAATTAGCATTTCTAATGTCCATGTTTGCGTGGCGTTAATGTTTCTCGCTGGTGTTGTTTGAGGTTTCTTGCAAATGAAGAACATAGTACAGCTAAATAAGTTGAGCTATAACAGCCTCCTCAAACAAAAGCATTGCCAAACAGTTGAATCACGTCTCCCAACGCATTGCTAAGACAATATAATAATGGAACATTTATGGGGAAGATGGCTGACTGCCAGAGGACATTATCATTATCAGTGTGTGTGCCCCTGTGAAAATCTGTATGTGTGAAAAGGAGCTTTCTACCAGTTGTGTGAATGTGCTGCATCAGTGTGTGTTATCAAGAGTGATTGTGTAACTCCTGTGTGCCCCCTCTGTCTTAGGATTGATGGCTTGTTTTATACGCTATCCAGAATAATGTATATGTGGCTTCTTGTGAGCTATCCGTCTTCTAATGCAGCTGTTTGTGTGTGTGCGTGTGTGTGTGCGTGTGTGTGTGCTCGTTTCCCTCTAGATTTATCGTATCCTGGGCAAGACGGTGGTGTGTTACCCAATAGTGTTTGATCTAAGTGACTTCTACTTGTCCCAAGATGTTATGCTGCTGATTGATGACATTAAGGTAAGTCAGAGTCACATTATGGAGCTCACCAATGTCACGAGTCCACAACTTACAAGGTTTTATGTGCTTACACAACTTAAATAACTGAGATATATTCAGCTTGTCTGGTTTAAAGAGTCTGTTTTTCAAAAAAGGCAAGAAATCTGTAATTTAATGTGATTTCTTACTGCTTTCACTTGGCCCAATAGAAAAGGCACACGCTGTCATAGACTGCTTAATGCTAGGACTGATAGTGGCTAAACCTGGGCTTTAAAAAACACCTGTAGGCAGTACACTGCATATTATGGATACACATTATCTCAGGTTATATTTATAGGTTATAACAATGATAGTGTAAGGCTACACATTAATGTGCTTAATCTGCAAGAATTAGCAAAAGATTTGCCAGTGATAACTGTTTAGGCTTGATAAAAATCATTTCTGGTCACGCCACTTATCATACCTCAGTCTGTAGTTTTGCTTTTGGTCTGTCACCCGTTGGTTTTAAATGCAAATTGAACTCACTAGACTCTGTAAATAGATTCCATAAAAAGTGCACAGCTGGATCATATTCCAAAGAGCCTCTAATAACTTTTGCTTTGTGAATGATTATGCCAATGTTGTCTTTGGTCTTCAATAGTTGGTGCAAAGTAGCCTCTTACCACTGAACATTTTTGAGTTGGGAGATGTACAAAGTGCAGGTAGCCAAAACATTTAGCACATTCAACTGTTATCATTTGTATACTCAGATCTCTCAGCCATGGTGGTAATTCATGGAAGGTTCAGAACTTGTTGTTCTTTTTTTAATTACTTTAAAAATGTCAGACTTTCTGATTATTTCCATATTTCCATAAAAAGACTAATGATATTAATATGGTTGCATACTTTCAGGACTGCTCTATATATGCACTACACACATCAGTGTCTGACACTGATTGCCAGCTAAGAATGGCTTATCAGCATTAATTGGCACCTGCCACTGAAAAACGGTAGAAGCGTATGACTGCAGGAATTTGCATATACCAAGACTGAAATATTAATTAAAGGAAATTATCAGGCAGTCTATACCTAAGTTTCCTATGTGGTCATAAAGCCGCTGTTGTACTTTTTAAATATGTAACAACTGACAAAGAATTTCAACCCAGAGTGAACTTTAGAAATACCACATATTCAAGCTGAAAGTTGAATCTTTGTACTGGAAGTATGAAATGGTGTCTGTGTGTTTGTTTGTGTCTGTGTGTCCAGAACACCCTGCAGTTCATCAAACAGTGCTGGAAGATGCCAGGGCGTCCTCTCTTCCTCGTTCTCATCCGCGAGGATAACATCAAGTAATATTTACACTCCACAATAGTTATTTTGTCGTTTTTTTGTGGTCTTCCTGCTGCATGATCGCTTTCTCAAAGCATTCTCCCTTCTCCAATCTCGTCATACATCACTCACTATCTCATCTTCTGTCTAACATCCCACTCAAGTTTGCAACAAAATGTCTTGACAGAGAATTTATTTAGCTTTTTTCCCCCCATCAATCACGTTTCTGTTTCTCCTACTCCCCTCCATTTTTTCCCTTCAGTATGTACTATCTGTCTTTATAGCAGGAAGGTGCTACTGCACATTTGCTTGCTGATTGGGTGATAATGTTTCTCATTTGTATCACTATAACCTGGCTGGTGGGCTGATTACAGTAGTATTGACCGTTATCCAGGGAGCCATATGTTAAATGTGGTACAAACGTTTAAGCAGCCACGCTACAGCATCTGGAATGAGTCAGTGGGCTCTCATAGAAACAATTCAATAGTCTTTAGTTTGCTATTGATTGGGATTATGACCTGTCTAGGGGTCAACAACATACCAGATAAAGCACTGAGTATACTCATTTAATCTGAAGCTTCAGTTGCATACTATTAGTGTGTTTAATACAGATATTATATCTGGAATAAAATCAGTGATACTTGTGATGAAAGGAGAGAGAGCTTATCGCAATATTTTAACTTCTGTCTCATCAGAGGAAGCCGCTTTAACCCAGTCTTGGACATGCTGGCCTCATTCAAGAAGGGCAGCATCGGAGAAGTCAAAGTTCATGTTGACAGACTTCAGGTTTGTGGATCCGGTTAATTATGATTGTGTTTGCAGTGCAAATGTCAAAGATATGCTTTAATCAACACTTAAACAATCAAACTGGTCAACTAAATGAAAAAACCCACACAAAAG